ATACCTAATTAATACTTGGAGGTAGCATTTTATATAATAGATAGATAGATATAAATAAATATGTATAGCTATAGATAGATAAATAGATATAGATTTATTCTCTTAATATTTTGAAAAAACTATTAGTTACCACTGTTTTTTATAAAAAATAAAAAATAAAAAAAGACTATAAATTGAAAATTTTAACATACAAATAATATATATATGGTTTGCTCTTAAAAATAACGTAGAACCTTTTTTTGGTTCCTTCCATTTGCTTTTGAGTTGTATATGGATTATTATATTTTCTTACCTTTATAGGTCCAAAGTTTTGCTCCACATCTTACTCCTAAGTTTTACAATGGTATAGCATGATATTTGTGTTTCTTTAGTGAGAAATGATATATACACCTTCCAAAGTTATACATTTCGTTACACATTAACGGTTTCCGTTAATATGCCATTAAAATTAACAATTTTCGTTACTTGTACTGTTAAAACTAACGGTTTTCATTATTTTTGCTGTTAAAACTAATAGTTTCTATCAATTTTAATGGCACACTTATAGAAACCATCAGTGTGTAACGAAATATGTAATTTTTTGAGGGTGTATGTATTAGTATCCGTCTTTAATTTTGGTGCCTCTCCCCCTTTTAGAATCTTCAAAGTTAGAAAATATAATGAAAAATCAACATAAAATTTGTGATAAGAAAACAAATATTAGTTAGGCATTTCAAGTATATATTAAAACCAGATGAAACTAAATTTAAAAAAGATATAAATATACCTTAACTAAATGTTAGATTATTGACTTAATAACATGAGTGAGAGCAAGTGATATAGATATATATAAACCAAATGTTAGCTTATTGACTAATTTAGATGAATATCGTGGGTGAGAGCTTCCATGAGTTGAAAAGTATCATCAAATAAGTACTTACTTTTCATGAATTATAAAGTATCATTAAGTAAGACACCTACTTTTGGGGTTTGGATATTTTAGTTTTATAGTCTTTTATAGGCTTAGAAAATGAAGTTTGAGAGTTTTAATTGTTACAAATGACTTATCTGAATTTAATGGTAAAATTTAGATATAATAATAAAGATAAATAATATTTTAATAGATAGTTGTTGAATATGAAAATTTTGTATTTACTTTTTTTAATGCATCTATTTTTTTTTTTTTTTTTACAATTGTTAGATGCATACCTTAATTAATGTATAGGGTAACATTATATATATATAAGATATACCAAAAATTAAGATATTTTAATATTAAAAATATCAAAATATCCAGTTAAAATCATTTATTAAGTGGAACATAATCACGAACCCTATAATAAATAATCTTGATTGAACCTGGCATTTGGCATTGCGTCCTATTTTCACTTTTCTGATATATATTTATAATGCATACTAAAAGTCTCCTACTTTGATTTTTTATTAAAGAATATCACACAAATTGAAACAAAAAGAGAAAAGTGGCATCAGCACTGCCTCTTTCCTGGCCCATGATTGCAAGTCCAGATCCCAAAATAAGCATAAACCCAACAACCAAACCAGAGGCACGGGCGGCTGCGTTCGACTTGGTGGGGGACGGTGTTGTGGAAGGCGGTGTTGTTGATCCCGATGGAGTAGTTGAATTAGACAGTGGAGGTGGTGAGGAAGACGAAGGTGTGCCACTGGCTGAAACAACACTGCCGGCCAGCTTCATGCCACTGGCGCAGTGACCAGTGGTGGGGCATATGAAGTACATCGACCCTGCTTTCGACAGGGTAATTGTGGTGTTACAGTCGCTGTAGGAATTCAGAGCGTCCCCTGTAGCGCAGATGTTATAGTCGCTTTGGATCACTTCGTCCACCCCATGCATGCTCCTGCCGTAAGTAGACACTGTTTTACGCAATCAAATTCTGGTTAGTTTGATCAAAGTAACTAGAAGATAAGAAAATAAACTCACACCTTTAAGAGGTGGTTTAATGATTAAAGATTTAAAATTTAAAATTAAAAATCTCAAATTTAAATATTAAATCAAGTAATGAGAAATTTTTTTTAAAAAAAATTATCCTTTTATGTAATCAATTATTATTATACGTTAACTCATGTTTGTTTTATATATATATATATATATATAGACACTAAGGATTAAATTCTATATTTACATACGTGAAACATGTTTAATTTGGAACTTACAAAGTGTGTCGCCCACATTGAATGTTTTTCCAGGTACTGTAATCGACACCTTGGCTCCAGCCACTGGTGTCAACAACAACATAATTGACTGCATACGCAGTCGGAGAAGCGAGGAGGAGGAGGAGGAAAGCAACTGCTATGGCCATAGCTAAGGCCTTGACAATAATAATATGCTTTGGGAAGTTGATAAGAATGCTTCGACACAGGCCCTTGAAGCACGTTAGGTGTTTCAGTATAAATAGACCATCCAGTTATGTAGATCAAGTGTCTGGCATTGAAGATTGCATCAAAAACGTCTTCCTAACAACGGTGAGGATCATAATTCTTGCCTCCAGCAAGAGGGATTTTTGGAACAAATTTGTCTGGGATATGAGCATCTTGATATAGAGAAACCTTACATCCATTTCTCGAGAAAAATGTGTATGGAACTCCAGGAAACTTCTGTCTTCTGATACCCCTACCCCAATTACAGTCCTTTGTCACATCAAAATATTGAAGTTTCACATGAATCTTAGAACCAGCTTCTATAGGTTTTTTGTCTTTATCCAGTATCTCAGCCCGCCTATCTACTTCATCTCCACCTAAGAGGTCTTGAACGGATACA